TTTTCTTTATTTTATTTTATTTTTCATGAATAAGTGATGGTTGAATTTTTTGTTCCTGATTATTTGGAAATCGTTGATTTCTAAATTTTTGTGATTTTTCTTAATCATCTACCTGATAAAATTTACCTTTGTTTTTGTTTATGTGTGGGAACTACTCTTTAGAATAAATGGTGACGGAAAATGCTTGGATGGTTATGCAACAGATATCTTTATTCTTCAACTTCAACAATTTCCATTTTCCGCTTCACATTCCAAAGGTTGTGTCCTTTCTTTTAATTTTTTTAATTTGTCTTTTCTTTTCTTTTCACTTGGTTGCTTGTCTTTTGTGTTTTATATATTGAGGGCAATGTATACTTTAAGTGTGGGGGAGAGAAATTTGTGTTTTGTGTTTGGTGTGTTTTGTGTTTTTTTTTTTTCATTAAAACAAAAACCCATAAAAATTGAAAAATTGAAAAATCCAAAAAGAAGGTTATGATGAAGTTGGTTTGATTATCTATAACATGTAAGAATTAGGCTATTTTGAATTGTACTGCTTAGCTTATGTATTTCTATATGTTGCTTTGAATACCCTACTTTTTATGCACTTAGTCGTGACTGTGGAATAAGCCTAAAGTAAGACATAGTTGCATAAGTTTGATGTAGATATGCCATAAAAGTTGTTTGATTCACTCATACTTATATGATTTGTATGTGGAACCCATCATGTTGTGAAGGAAAAGCAAGGCATTAACCCAATATCAGCCTTAAAAAACCTTATTGCTTTGACACTTTGTGTTAAGTAAGTTTGGGAGAGGGTTGTTGGCGGATGCATCTAAGGTTAGGTTAATTTAATGAGGGAGAAAAGGAAGAGCATTCAATGTTAGTGCTAGCCCCTTGAGAGGTGAGGAATTGGCAACCTTGAGCAGAGAGTCCTCAGGCGCGGTGAGAAAAAATAGATATGTAGACTGCCCTAAGTTGCTGAGCCACTATGTAGAGGAGTGGAAAAATGCTCTGGGTAGTGGCCTGAGTTGGAAAGTGTCCTGAAGAAAAGCCGCATGGACCGAAGAATGGGTTATGAGGGGAAATAGGTTGTCTATGAGATAAGTCCTTCTACTTCATAGCATGTCTGGTGGTCCATTGCATTGAAATATAGTATGAAATGTGAATCTGTGTTAAAGTGTTAATATATGGCATATTTGCAGGAGAGTTTTTGTTTTCTATGTTAAATGTAAAGTAATGTCCCTGAGAAACGGATGCACACACACACAAGCGTGGGGGCTAAAAGTGCATATGGTTTGCATTTTGTTACGTAGTGCATATTAGAGGTAGTCGAGGTCTTTGTGTAATATGATATTAAAACTCTGAGGCCGCCAAAATTAAATAATTAAATGTTTTTGTTTGTTTTAATCTTGAAAATGCTTGAGGACAAGCAATAATTCAAGTTTGGGGGTATTTAATATGCTTATATTTTACCTATTTATTATATCCCTAATTTGTGATTTTTGCAATATATTTTGAGTACAAATATGCTATTTACATGAGTTTATCTTTATTTGTAGGTTTTGTACTCAAATGGAGGAATTGTCGAAATTTTGGGCTAAAATAAAGAAAAAGCAACTCAAAGGAGAGAATTGAAGATTTGATAAATTGACAAGGAAGAAATTAGAAGACTTGAAGATTTAGAGGACTAAATTACAATTTTTATTTTTATTTAGGGTTTGGTCGAAACAAGGACTTGCGGCTGATTGGAGTTGGAATGGGTAAGAATTTTAATCCCAATATTATTTGGAGAACAAGTTTTCTTCCTCTCCAAGAAGTAGGGTTTGACGGAAGCCTATAAAAGGAGGTTTAGGATTTTATTTTTACAACCGAAGTTGACCGAAAAAAACCCTACGTCCTCCGACGATCCACCTCCTTGCTGCTACGTCCTCCGCCGGTCACCACCTTGCTCTCCTCCATTCCTACACATCACCGGACCTCCATCAACTCTACCTTGCTTCCATCAAAGCCTCCTCTTTCTCCTCCACTTCCATCATCATCCACGTATCAGCACCACCTTAACCACTAAACCCATCACCTCATCACCACCCTCTTGACCGCATCACTGAGCCCCTAACCCCGATGTGAAACCCTTCTACGAACCACCTCACCTCTAAACACCAACCACAACTCCACGCAGCCACATTCATCACCACCATCCTTCTCCTCCTTGCTTCCATTCACGCCAACCTCCACCACCATCACCTTAATCATCATCCCATCACCACCAAATCAGCCCCCCACACCTCCATGCATCAAATCAACTCCACGCCACACACCTCTTTCCAGACCCACGCACCAGCACCATCATCATCCTCACGCATCATCGGAGGAAGCAAGCAGCAATGCATCAACCTCGACTCAACTTGCAGCTTCTCTCTCCCGAGTTTCATTGTTTCATTGTGTAACTAAATTATTTAATCTAGGATTTTGGATGTAGCCGTCGTACTATTTAATTTAATTTAATTCATGATTGTGACTTTTTCATTAGTTGAAATTTAATATTCTTGTTTTTATTCCACGTGAGTATTTAATTCACGACGACTGAAGGTTAACATTAGTTCATGGGAATATTAAGCTTCGGTAGTGAGCACGACAGTAAGAACACCGCCTTTGCAGCTAGAGATTCTAAAGTTCTTAATGTGCTTTTATTAATCCCTATAGTCACGAGAGTAGTCATAGGGTTAGTTTGAGTAAGAGAATTATATCACGACAGTGACTAGTTCTTAAATAGCTGAATCGTTGTGAGATTAATGAAAGTCCAAAGTCACATATCTATAAGTTGAGTTAAACTGCGTAATCGGTAGGTGAACCCTTTGCCCTAGGTTTTCTTTTATTTGTGTAAAATCTTAAATTAATTGTAATTGATAGTTTTAGGTTTAGATTAGTTTAAATTGATAAATTGTTAATCTAAATAATAATAAGAAATAATTTTAACCGGTACTTGATATCCTTCTCTGTGGGATGGACCTTGCTTTCTGCTTTACTACTAGTAATTGTATTAAGTAGGTAATTAATATTTGACTAGTGTGATAACGGCTTGTCAAATGGTTCTGCTCTTGGTTCACCCGGAGAAGCGGAATTGGTTATATAATTTATGATCATTGGAGTATCCTACTTTCAGCATCAGGCCAACATAAAGGTCAAAATTGCAATTTTGATATGGAAGCTGAAGCAATGCTTACTAGATAAAAGAAATGTATTGAGCTACAACTTACAACCATACAAGTTCTATCTGACAATAAAGATCTAGTGGATATGCTCAAGTGGAAGACCAATTTCCCTTGGAGGAACAAGAACTCTCTCAAACAGAAAGTGGGAATTTTGACACAGACTGGATATACAATTATACAAGTCTACAAAGAAGTCAAGTCGGTGGCAGAAGTTTTAGTAAAAATGGTTTCGGCGGGAATCGCAACTACTTTTGAACAGAGAAGCCAATTGCCAAAAAAAAAAAACTCGAGGTATCTTAAACCTGAAACGAAGGTCAGTTCGTATATGCATATAAGATAATCAATAAGTAGGGATCTATACTAAAAAGAACTGTCATGAAGAATTACCGGGGTTCTTTTGTGAGACAAACTCTTAGACTAACTGATTAAAATTTTAAAATTTTTTTTTTAAGTTTCCTAAAATGAACTATCATTTGTTTAAGGGATCTTTCTAAGACAGTTTCTTAGAGATAATTACATTAGAACCATCACGGAGTTTTTAGAAAAAATTTTCTAAGACAGTATCTCTTTCTATTTGGGTAATATTTAAACATTGTCCATTGTATTTTTTTTTTCATTAAAAAAAATCGAAGTTATATTTTTGTTTGTTGGAATAGTTTAGGATTTAATCACATTATTAGGAACTATTTGTAGGATCAAGATAAGCTCGTGCATCTTTGATTCTTTTAGACGAGTCTTTGGCTTGCATATTTAATTGAAATATAATCAATAAATGTAATTCATTGTCTCTAAGTCACAATCTCATGTCTAGCAACAACAAAAATGTCATCAATTCCATTTATCAAATTCTTTGGTATGTCAAAAGCCTAAGCTTCTTTCATTTTAACTCCTACTTTAAAAAGCAGTGTAGAATTATTGTAATATATCATTGAGATTTAGATACAAATCATCAAAATGATGAATCTAGTCAAAAGTTAATCATGATTAAAAAATTACTTTTCTCCTATTCTATGTCCAACAATTCTAAGGAAATCGCAATTTAGTAACAATATAATAGTAATAATTGTATTTCCTTTTTTTTTAACTCCAAAATAACCATGGAAATATTGATTATTATTACAAAGTAAAATCATGCAAAATATACTTTTGTTTTCTTTTCTTTTTTTAGATATTAGGACTATTGTCACATTACATATGGTAGGATATGGTAACACCATTTTATTTTTAACTTAGCCAAATTTTGTAACGCCTCTTATCATCACGTTCAAATCCAATCAACAACATGACTTGAGGGTTGAAGTACATGTTTTTCTTGTTTTAGTCAAATTGGCTCTTCCTTTTTGGTCAGTAAAAAGATAAAGATAAAAAGGGTAAAGTCGGTTACTTTGACTGACCTTAGTTGAGTTTCAGACCAGTCAGCTCCAACACCCAAAGTTTCAGACATGCAACTTTCTTCTTTCCACTTGCCAACCAGAAAAAAAAAATAACGTCAAAGATCTTTGTCTTAATGTACCGACTAAATTACAGAGCGCCAGATTTACTAAATTTTGTTGAAAAGATATTATTTTCCGGGCAAAAATGGAAAAAAAGTAGGTGCTCTTAATTTTTCCTTGAATCATAGCCACCTATCAGTCCATCCCTTTTGTATGTTCTTTATGTTTTACCCTTGATTTTATAAAATCCATTTCAGTTCTCAAATCCATCTTTACGATTTTCCACCACCAACTTGATTTCAGACAGGGAAAAAGGCCAACTTAATTGATCGATTTTGGAGAAGCATTTTTGTTTTCGATTTCTGGGTTTTGGCTAATGGCGATATCGGGGGCAAAGGATTCAGCGGAGACCCATGAATCACAGCTTTGTTTACAGTTGCTAGATCTTGGGAAGAAGTTACATTCTCTACCCACATCTGAAAATGGAGTTTTGAAAATCCTTAAGGTATGAGAATTTATAAATTTAACTAAATCATTTTTCATGCATGTGAACATTAAATTTTTCTTTTATTTTTTTTCATTTGGGTGGCTATCAAATTTGTTGATTCGATGATTTTTGTTTATTGATTTGATTGTACTGGACCGATTAATTACAGCTGTGAGTGTTACGTTTGCTATCTTGATTAAAATATAGTTGCTATTAAATTTTGAATTAATTGGTGTAATTCAAAATCACATTTGAGATTGAATGTGTGTCCATTTATCCTTTTTGGTAATGGTACTTTTCTTTTGGGTCATAAATATTATTGTATAAATGGCACATTAATTTCTTATTATGCTATTGTTTGAGACTAGCAATTCTTGTTCTCATGTTTTTGCCTGAGTTCATATTTTGAAAGTATAATGACGCTTAATTATAAGCCTTGATTACCTCTCAGATTACTTCTGACACTCTCTATCATTTGTGGTGAGATTGCCTCTTTAGTTTGATTGTACTTCAGCTTATGTAATTCGTTTTCTTTGATTTATTAGAGTGCGGAAGACTTTTTAAAAACGCTGGAACAAGAGCCTTCACAGGCAATATGCGATGCACTTCGTCTTGCTGAGAAAGGGTTAACAACTGACCGGCTTTTGAAACACAAAAATATGGATATCAAAGTTTCGTTAATGTATTGCCTTCACGAGGTGATTAGAATTAAAGCTCCTAATGCCGATTACTGTGATCATTGCATGAAGGTAATATGTATATGTATTTGTGCTCCTAAGCTCCTCATTATGATTCTTTCCATTCATATTCTATATTTATTTGTGCTCTTTTTGTGGTAAATTTTTAGGTTCAAACTTTTTGAATATTTTTGTCCTTTGTATGATTTATTACAGATAATATTTCAGCAAACCATAGAGAATGTATTTGAAAAACTTTCTTTGTTTTCTCATAGCACTTATGAGAAGGCATTGCAAATTCTCCGGACAGTTGCCAAGGTGAAATCTAGTTTGATTTTGTTTGATATTGAGAGTAACGCATTGATTGTGCAGATGTTCCATGTCTTCCTTGATTCCATTGAGTAAGTCATATATCTTTTCCAGAAATGCATTGTTTTCTTTTTCAGAATCCTTAAATCATAGGTTTATAGTACGTTTATGGAACTAAGTCTTTGGAAAATTTGATCGAGTTTGGTAAAGCATGAATTTGTGGAAGTTAGGGTTCCTTATAAGACATTTTCTCTTTTTTACTGATAGTTCTTCGTTATATTTCATAGACACAACCATACAGATGATGTGTTTTCAAACATGGAGGCAATCATGACTTGCTTGATTCAAGAAGGTGATAACTTCCCACTAGATCTTGTGAAGCCTCTTTTCAATGCAGTAAATAACGAGAACCAGGTACTTCAAGAAACATGTATTTTAGCTTTTACTTTCCCCTTCTTGTATTCGGATGAACTTACATGTGTTATTTCCCTCAGGGTATCCCAGTCGCAACCCGGCGATTAGCAATACAAGTGCTGAAAAATTGCTCTGACAAGGTGAAACCGTACCTCATTGAACAAGTGGAACAAGCAAGGAAAACATACGATGCTTTTAACAATATACTTGCTTCCATTCAGCCTGAATCACCTGCTGAGGAAAATGTAATGTGATTCTAACTCTTGTTTCAGCAAAAGTTGACCCGTTTGTTGGTTCTCTTGTTATTATTTTTTGTTATTTATTCTTCATTGGTTGATATATTATTTTAGAATCCTCATCAAAATTACCTAAATTGGCCTTAAATTAGGTTATGATAGAGGGAGAAAATGATGATGCCCCTTGTCATGAGACAGTGCTGGAGACCGTTTACAAATCCACGCCGAGAGACATCTGTAAAAGTCCATCAATCAAGGCTTCAATGAAGTTAATGCTAATAAAGCATGCTTCACGGCCTTTAATCAACCATGAAGATATTGAAATGCTGCAAACGAATGATGCATTAAGAAGTGAAGATGGATCAAGCGCAGAAGCGTTTGGAGCGGTTGTTGCTGGTGGAAATGAGAACAGCTCAAATGCACTCCAATATGAGGATGATGATTCCTTGGAAATTGTTGGAGAAGAACAAGTTCAGCCTGATAATTTTCAGGGGTGCTTGACTTTTGGGTGAGCCAAACCCAAAAGTGTGGAACAAAAAATGTGTAGGGTTTATTTTGTAGACAAATGTAATCTTCTCGCGTTTTAAAAACGCGAAACAATCAAATTACATTAACATTTCGCGTTTCACAAACGCGAATAATGTTAATTCCATGCACCCAGATTCAAACGGGTCGAAAGCAAAAAAAAAAAAAGAAAAATAGGTTTTTCGCGTTTTACAAACGCGAAAAACGTAAGACGCGTTTGCAAAGCGCGAAACTCTGTTTTCGCCTTTGTAAAACGCGAAACTTTCTTTTCGCGTTTTCAAAACGCGAGAAACAACTTTCGCGTTTAAAAAATGCGAAAATCTGTAAGTTTAAAAGTGTAAATTTTGCAAATAAAAATTTAGCGTTTTGAAAACGCGAAACAAAATTTATAGCGTTTTTAAAGCGCGAAAAATAGATTTAGCGTTTTTAAAACGCGAAAATATCCAGAAAATCTCCTCCTCCACTCACCCGTCTCCACGTGTATTTTTTATGATAAGTCTGGAATGTATTCGCGTTTGTTAAACGCGAAATTTAAGATTCATATATAAAACAAGCTTTAACAGCATTTCTCCGCAAATTTCTTTCATTGTTCAGCTCCGAATTTTCTTCCCAAATTTCTTTCATTCTGTTGAACTCCGATTTTAAGTTTTACTCCGGAGGACTTGCTGAATTCGTGAAAACTCTTATTTTCTTCAAATTGAGAAGTTGCTCCGAGGTTAAAGAAGATTGATTTGAGTCCTGAAGCCTATTTAAAACTCTAAGTTTTAACATTGAGGTAAGTTTATTTCGTTATTAAAAACATGTACTTTTTTATGTTTTATTATGAGCATAGGATGATTTACGCATTATTATTAGTTAATATATAATTGTGATTTAGTCAATTAACGGTGGTTTTTTATTGAGGCTGATAAAGTAAATTGAAAGAAATATTAGTTAATAGAATATTAAATTAGATGAGCATTGTAAATTATTGTACATCGATTTCGTAAAATAAAATAAAATTATAATAATGATATTGAATTTTTGAATATTTACAGCATAAGAATAAATTATGTAATTCGGGCATAAGGTTTAGATTTAATATTAATTTTGAGCATACAAATGAATTTGTAAATTCAGGCGTATAGTTGTTATTTTAAAATTATTAAATCTGTAAACGGGGTAAATACTATGGCCGCAAACTGATTTCGTAGGAATTGATTTTGCAGCCCGCAAATGTCTTTCACGGAGACAGTTCGTCTGAAATTATACTGGAATACTACTTATACAACTGAACCTGATGGGACTATCACGGTGCAATGGGATGCGCCGGACGGTTATCTTATCATTGATCGTATGTTAGATTTCTCGGAACTTGTTGATAAGGTATTAAGTGTGATCGGAGTTGATAGAGAAGGGCTTTATATTGATTTTTCTTTGGTATGGACGGAGAGGTCAGGAAAAAGGTATCGTGTGCACATTAATGATGATAATACTGTTCGGTTCATTTATCTTTGTGCCGATAAATGGCCGAATTGTACCACGAAAAGTTGAGAGAACAGGCCATGTTTATGCAAGTACATCTGGCCAGGATATTGGTGCCAGCACTAGTGGTGGTAGAACAGTTGAAGACAATGAAGATGGAGATGAAGATGGAGATGAAGATAAAGATGAAGATAAAGATGAAGATGCAGATGAAGATGAAGATGTCGGGGTGTCGAAAGCAGTGATGATGAGTACGTCCCATCGGATGAGGACTCAGATGACGACACTGATTTTGAGTCATCTTCTTCAGTCCCATATGTTTTCGACGACATAAGTGGATGGGACAAGACTTTAGAGGAAGTAGAAAACGATGGAATTAAAATGTGGGATGGCAATCCGTTGACGCTAGGCCTTGATATACATTTCGCCAACAAGCCCGAGGCACAAGCGGCGATGGGAGAATGGAACTTGGTACATGGTCGGACTTTCCGGTGAAAACGAGCTCTAAACGAACATGGTATGTCGAATGCGAGACGTGTGGACCTAAATATCCGAAAGAGCGCCTTCACGGCTATGATTGTCTCGTGGAAGGCGCGAGTTTCGCTGCGAGAAGGCCACCGATACTTGGAAAATGGTGGTATGGTCCGATTCCCACAACTGTCTTGGGGCAAACAAGAGAAACGAGTCCCGAAATGTCACGTCTTCTATGATTGCTAGACTGGTTGCCCAAAATGTGCGAAAACATCCAGATTTTGCAGTTGCCCAAATTCAAATAGAAGTGATGAAGAGGTACCAAGTCGAATGTAGCTACAAGAAGGCATGGCATGGTAGAAGAAAAGCACTTGAGGCTCTGTATGGTACATGGGAAAGTAATTTTCAACAATTGCCCAGCTTCCTCAATGCATTGTTCATGTCAAACCCGGACACTTGTGTGCAATTCAAGTTTAAGGAAAATTCAGGAAGCTCACAAAGGTTTGTATGTAGGTATGTTTTCTGGGCATTTGGGCCATCTATACAGTTATTTCATGCTTGTTGGCCAGTAATAACCATCGATGCCACTCACCTGCGAGGATCCTACAAAGGAAAACTAATTGTGGCATGCGTAAAGTGCGCAAATGGCACGATTGTTCCCATCGCATTTGCTCTTGTGGACGAAGAGACTATACACAGCTGGAAATGGTTTTTGAAGTATTTGAAAAAGTTTGTTCTACAAGATAGGAAGACCTGTATTATCTCTGATCGAAATCAGGGTATCCTTACTGCCATGGACATCATGTTGCAAAAATTCCCAGAGATGGGCGTCCACCGTTATTGTCTAGAGCATGTTAAAGCAAACTTGGTTGGGCATTTTCGAAAGGAGAAACTGCGAGGCAACTGTCAAATGATTGGTTCAGCGACGGAAAAGACAAGGTTCTTGGCAGAGTGGCAAAAATTAGAAGAAAAAAATGAGCTTGCTGCTCGTTGGCTTCAGAAGCTGGGTGTTGAGAAATGGACCTGTTTACACGATGGAGGGTATCGTTGGGGAGAAATGACCACTAACATTTCAGAGAGTTTCAATAATGTGCTGAAAGGTGCTAGATTCTTCCCGATCACAGCTTTGATCCTAGCATCCTTTCAAAAAAGCAACAATCTGTTTCAGGCAAACATTGATATGATCCAAAAATGTCAGACTGTTCGCCTCCTACTCCAATGAAACTGTATGAAGAGGCCCGGAAGAAATCGTTGAGGCAAAAGGTCAACCGGTTTAGCAAGAGAAACCAGAAGTACGAAGTGGTTACAATAGCACCTGATAATCAACCATGGAAGGCTGACGAGAAGCAAGTTGTGTTGTATGCAAATCGAGAGTGCACTTGCGGAAGGTGGCAGACTTTCAGATTTCCTTGTTCCCATGCACTTCGAGTTGCCCGTGAGCTAGGTGACGATCCCTTCCCACTTTTTGATCCATGTTACACTACGCATCAATGGTACCAACAGTTTTCGGAGAATTCAACCCAATCATGGAACCATGGCCAAAGGCAACGTGGCGGATCGTGCCGAGATGACACTAAACTTGTCCACCATGCTGGCCGAGGTCGGAAGCGTGTGAATCGGAAAAAGGTGTGATGGATTATACAAGCAAATCTGCGCGCAAGACTCCAAACTTGCGCTTTATGTAAGCTACAAGGCCATAATGCCGTGGCTTGCCCATATGCGAGAGTTTGCGCACGATGTGGAAGTTTAGATCATGATGTTGTCGAATGCCCTTTTCTCATCCACCGCCGACAGACCGGTATTGATAAACTGTATGATCCATATGGAATTCATGGTGTGCCTAATATCAATTCGATGATGATGATGATGAAGCGTAGTGATTATTCTGTTAGTGTTCGTATTTTTATATTGTTTTGAACATTCATGTAGTAAACCTCAGAGGATGATTCAGTTTGCGTTTGTATTTGTTTTACTATGTTGGTTTGGATGTTTCTGTAATTTATATTAGTAATGTTTTTGTAAAACCGAAACGTCGCAGTTCATTTTAGTAATATTATTAATTATTACTATAGGATATATACATGTCGAATAAAGCACTAGTTATTTGATAAACAATAAAGGTAAGAAAATTAGTTATTTGTCATCACCGAAATTAATATAACCATATATTCGGCTTAAAGAATAAACGACTAAAATTTTAAATTGGGTGTATTATTCTCGCGTTTGTGAAACGCGAAACAAGGGGGAGTATTTTTCTCGCGTTTCAGAAACGCGAAAACAGGGAGGGTTAAAATTTTCGCGTTTCTGAAACGCGATTTTACTTAAAGCTTGGTTGTTTTCGCGTTTTAGAAACGCGAAAATGGGTGCATAAATTAAATTTTCGCGTTTCGGGTTGATGTTTCTCAAACAGAAGCATATATCCGGCGTAATCCATTGAAACCGGTGATTTTTCCGGGAGAGTTGCCGGAATTGTTTCGGCATCAAATTTTTGCATTTTGTAAGCTATATATCGAGGTAAGTTGTGTTTTTTGGTGTGATTTAATCGTTTCTTTTTAATTCATGTTTTAATTTTCGATTCCTATAAATTTTGTGTTCGTTTTATTTGTAATTTTATTTCCCGATTTAATGAATCGTTAATAGATCTAGTATTATAGGTGTTGTAATTGTGGAATTTTTTAAAAAATTCGGGTTTGGGTTGGGTGAAAAAAATTCCGGGGGAATGAATGGGAGGGGGGCGGCGGCGGAATGAAGGGGAGGGTGGGGGGGCGCGGCGGAACGAAGGGGAGGGTGGGGGGGGCGGCGGCGGAACGAAGGGGAGGGTGGGGGGGGCGCGGCGGAACGAAGGGGAGGGTGGGGGGGGCGGCGGCGGAACGAAGGGGAGGGTGGGGGGGCGGCGGCGGAATGAAAGGGAGGGGGCGGCGGCGAATGAAAGGGAGGGGGCGGGGGGGAATGCAGGGGTGTAGAGAGGAGGTAGGTTTAGGGTTTATGGTTGGGCTTAGGGTTTGGTGTGGGGTGTTGGGCTTAGGGGTTTAGGGTTTGGGGATTGGGTTGGGTTTAGAATGTGGGTTTAGGGTTTGGGGGATTGGGTTGGGTTTAGAATGTAGGTTTTTTGGGTTGGGAATTGGGTTGGGTTTAAAATATGAATTTTGGGTTGGGTTTAGAATGTGGGTTTTGGGTTGGGGATTGGGTTGGGTTTAAAATATGGGTTTTGAATAATAAAATGTAGGGTTGGAATTTTGAATGTATAGGATAATTAGATTAGAATAATAATATTAATTTGTATTTACTAAAATGTAGGGTTAAAATATATAATAAAAGAATAATTAGATTAGAATAATAATATTAATCCGTATTTACTAAAATGTAGGGTTAAAATATATAATAAAAGAATAATTAGATTAGAATAATAATATTAATCCGTATTTACTAAAATGTAGGGTTAAAATATTTAATAAAAGAATAATTAGATTAGAATAATAATATTAATCCGTATTTACTAAAATGTAGGGTTAAAATATTTAATAAAAGAATAATTAGATTAGAATAATAATATTAATCCGTATTTACTAAAATGTAGGGTTAAAATATTTAATAAAAGAATAATTAGATTAGAATAATAATATTAATCCGTATTTACTAAAATGTAGGGTTAAAATATTTAATAAAAGAATAATTAGATTAGAATAATAATATTAATCCGTATTTACTAAAATGTAGGGTTAAAATCTTTAATAAAAGAATAATTAGATTAGAATAATAATATTAATCCGTATTTACTAAAATGTAGGGTTAAAATCTTTAATAAAAGAATAATTAGATTAGAATAAAAAAGAATAATAATATTAATCCGTACTTACTAAAACTATTTGTAAATTGTACTAGCCATGGACATTGGATCATCTTCTTCCTCCCAATCTACCTCAAAGAAGCTACGGCAGGGACCCAGAACGCCCATAGGTCACACAATATATTCCATGGTGCACAGTATGATATAGGGATTTCGGAGCCCAGGCGCGTAGATAGCGCCGCGTGGAAATTAATAAAAGATGCACCGAGGTTGACAAAGGAATATATTGAGAAATTTGGTTTTGGACCGTTCTCTAGAGTTGGGTCCATCGATGTGACCATGCCCCGCTACGCCTCTTGTGGAGCGATGGCGCCCGAGAGACCCATACATTTCATTTACCTTTTGGGGAGGCTACTATCACACTCCAGGACGTCGAGGTTCTTTTGGGCCTTCGGGTTGATGGACGTCCAGTTACAGGACATCACACCATGCCTGATGGTGGTTGGGCAGCCTATTTGGAGAGGATGTTTGGATTTAGGTTCCAGATGATGAGTCTAGATTGACGAGTGTTTCCATCACTGAAATAAAGACTCACATAGAGAATAATCCTTTGACGGACTGTCCCCGACGATGCACACCTACAATGAGCTCGTTGTTTTGTTGGATGGCTCGTTGGCGGATTATCGTTCTCAAACACTACGAGAAACAGCTTTTCCTCTCGATCTTGTGCATTTTCTTCATACTCCCGAGATTTGCTCGGAGTACGGTTGGGGTAGTGCGGCACTATGTTACTTGTACCGCAAAGATGTCCAGTCATCTCTCGCCGCTTCGCCAAGGCTATTACCGGTGTGTGATTCTTCTTCGGTATTTTATCTTTTCATTTCTCTCTAGTTTCAATTTATATTCTCCCATTATTATTGGTGATTTTAGCTAATGATTTCTTCATTCGAATTAGCTCTGGGCCTGGGAGCGGATTTTGACGGTTCAGCCCAAGATACTGGGTAGGGATCTCGATCTATCTGATTGTCCATTGGGCACGAGGTAATCTTATACATCAAACCTTCGTAAATTTTGACATTTTAATTTGTACTGTCATGTCTCAATTTAATGTTACTTTCTCCGTGCAGGTGGTCCCGCGAGAAAAAAGTTCAAGGTATCACGCGGTTCAATTTGGCCGCGTATCGGGATCAGCTTGCAGTTCTCGCAGAGTCTGATGTTAGTATTCTATTCAATTAGTATAACTTATGTTTTATTCGTTTTTTTTAACGGTGTCGAACTTTTAATTACACGTCTCTTACTTAATTACCATTGCAGTTTGTCTGGATGCCGTACACGACTCTTTTGGGTCGTATTGCCAGGGTTTGTCTTGTGGGACAGGGCATATGGCGATCTCAGACATGGCTCATCTGCGGTGATGTCGTTGCGCCACACAACCCCGTAGGGTATTTCGCCAATTTGGTTATCACCAGCGGATACCCGCGACGCATTACTTCTCACCGCGGCGGAAATTACTAGCCCGCTCAAGAGGAAGCCGTTTGGAGGATCCGATAGGAGATGGTTACAACAACTAGGGATATATCTCCGTGTTTGGAATGATCGCCACGGCCAAGTTGTGGGGACCGATGATCTTTATGTTGGCGAGCCTTCCGCAGATCCGGAGTATCTCTTGTGGTACCATCAGTTACCGTGAAGTATGTTACGGATCCGACGGACTCGAAAATGCGAGGGTTTTCACGGTTCTGCAGAGACCTTGCGCCTCATGGTGAGTATTTCGCCTACATCCATTTGGTTCTTTTTATTAACACTGTTGTCGATTTATGATTCTTTCTAATAAAAATTTCAGGCCACATTGATGGAGGATGTTCGTAGTCCGAGTATTATAGGCCAGCGTACTTTCGACGCGGACTCCTTTGGTTATGATCGCTTAGGCGAGATTGCCCAGTTGCTTGAGCGGGCGTTGTCCGTCAATGCAACAAATGTTGTACGGCACGATCTCGATAGGCATGTTGAGGTTCATGACATTTTGAGTCAAGAACTTGCACTGTAGACCCGACCCAAGAACATCCACCACCTGCACCTCCGAGGCGTTCGCGCAGGTCTCGGCGTGGGCGTGGGGGCAGAGACAATCACAACATCTCAGCCACATCAGTCCTCCCAAGATGAGCGGTCTCATATTCCCTTCACCGGCGGTTCATCCCATCGGTCTCCACATCGATCTCCACTCCATTCTCGACAAGATTCAGCCCATCGGTCTCACATCATTCATCCCATCAGTCTCCACATCATTCTTCGCCGACCCATCGTGCGTTTTACCGTCCGATTATGTCTCCCAAAGACCAAGCAATCAATTTTTCCTTCACTCGTTTTCCTCCCTCGGACTTCTCGTCGTCGTTTGGAGATTCTTTTATTGACTTTTCCGGGTTTCAGCAGAGTTCGCTAGATGGCCGTCGATACATTACACGAGTAACTTTCTTTCGAGTATGTTCGAGGGTGTTGCGGGTCGCATCGGTGATAACCCACCGAGGTGAGCGTGAGAGTCGGGGTGAGGATGACGCCGAGGATGAGGCTGAGGATGAGGATGAGGATGAGGCTGAGGATGCAGACCAGGATGATCAGTTGAGGGTCAGGGTTATCAGCGCCATGAGGAGCAGGGATCGAGTCAGACTCTAGGGACTCCACCGTTGGCTGTGAGTAAAGGCCAGAGAGTGACGAAGGAGCCCGATAGATTGACTTATAGCCTTTTTCGGGCTAAAAAGCCCAAGAAGAAGTAGGGTACTAGACTTCTTATGTAGTATTATTAGACTTGTATTTTTTTTTCCCTTTTGTTCATTTCTGTTTTCTTTCCTTTTGTTATGACTTGTTTTATTTTTTTTAACCTTTTGTTATGACTTGTAGTATTTTGTTATGACTTGTATTAATATTCTTAATAGTTTGATTTCACCTGCATCGTAAATACAATAATTAATATTTATAAAACACATCTTCGCCGATCAAATCGAAACACATATTTAAACTTTCTTATATTTTTTTTCATAATTAATAGTTGCTTCATCTTAAGTGTTGGTAAATTAAAATAAATATTTAATAAAATTTATTCTTATTTTAAGCTTTTTTCTTATATTAAAACCATCATAATTAATAAAATTAATTTGTAAATTAAATTACATCTCATTAAATCCATAAAATTACGTCATTATCATTATTGAAAATTTTTCATATAAAATTATTTTTTAAAATAATGATTACATTTTTAATACAAATTTTTAATATAATCATTATTAATTTTTTTTATATAATGTTTTAAAAAATTAATACATTATAATAACTATATCATACTTTTAATAATTTATATTTAGTATAGCTCTATTTTATTTAATGAGTATCAATTATAATTTATATTCTTATTCAAAATTTAATTTTCGTATTATTAAAATTATCAATATAATTTTCCTCTTTATAGCTCTATTCAAAATTTAATGATTAACAGTTATAATTTTCAAATTTTCTGTTACCATTATTCAAATTTAATAATTTTTTGAAGTCAATTTCCCTATAACGTTTTAAACTAGTCAAATTAATCATTTTTTTATGCCTATTTCACCTGCATCGTAAATACAATAATTAATATTTATAAAACACATCTTCGCCGATCAAATCTAAATACATCTTCAAACTTTCTTATATTTTTTTAATAATTAATAGTTGCTTCATCTTTTTTTAAAAAAAAAACAAACACCAAAGTATTTAGTTTATCCAAATAAAAGATATAATTCTTAGCTCTTACATACCAACCGTCTATTAAAATTACCACATCTACACAAGAATAGTACCAGATACCTAAAACAAACATTCCGTAAAATAAAGTTCTCTTCAGAATTAAGATGCCGTGCATTAAACAATCGCATTAGTAGCACTTGCAATCCTAGGCCAAAGATCATCACACTCCTTTCCAATGGGACCACTAATTGCAGAACCTTTCATTTTTCCCTTGGGATTAACAATCACTCCAGCATTATCTTCAAAGTACATGTAGACACCGTCCTTTCGGCGCCATGGCTTGCGCTGGCGGACAATGACTACATGCATGACCTTCTTCCTGAGATCGGGCTTACCCTTCTTGACGGTGGCCATAACCATGTCACCGACGGAAGCGGTAGGGAGACGGTTGAGCCTACCCTTCATTCCCTTCACTGAAATGATGTAGAGGTTCTTTACCCTAGTGTTGTCAGCGCAATTCACCGTCGCAACTACTGGAAGACCCAGAGACATCCTGAACTTGTTACCCGCCGATCCTCCGCGTCCTCGCTTCGACATTTTTGCTGTCTCCCCTGTGAGGTTTCCGAAGAACAGAAAATACTTGCTTCATCTTAAGCGTTGGTAAATTATAATAAATATTTCTTAAAATTTATTCATATTTTAAGCTTTTCTCTTATATTGAAACCGTCATAATTAATATAAACAATTTGTAAATTAAATTATATCTAATTAATATAAATCCATAAAATTACGTCATTTATCTTTACTGAACATTTTTCATATCAAATTATTTTATAAAATAATTATTAATTTTTTAATATAATTTTTTAAAATTTTATAAATTATAATAATTATATCATAATTTTATTAATTTATATTTAGTATAGCTCTATTTAATTTAATGAGTATCAGTTATATTATTATATTCATATCAAAATGTAATTTTCTTATTATTAAAATTATCAATATAATTTTTCTATTATTAATTTTCTTCTTTATAGCTCTATTCAAAATTTAATGATTATGAATTATAATTTAAAAATTTTCCTTTAATTTCATTATTAAAATTTGATAATTTTTCAAGTAAATTTGCTTACAATTTTTAAACTATGCAAATTACTTGAATTTTTATTACAATTTCCTTTTTTATTTAAATAAAATATTGTTTTTATTGTTTTCGCTTTGAAAACGCGAAAAATAATCTTTTTAATTTTTTCGCACTTTGAAAACGCGAAACTTTATTTAATTAAATTTTTTACCATTAATTACTTACGATTAAGTTAAATTAATTAATATAACCTATGTTTAGCGTTTCTGAAACGCGAAAATCTTCTTTTAGCGTTTTGAAAACGCGATTTTGCCATTTTTCGCGTTTTTGAAGCGCGAAAGAATTAGTTTTGGGGAGAATTGAAACCCTAAAACTATTTTCTTCTTCAGTAATTTTATTAGATACATATAAGTAATTTATCCTAATTTTCAGTATGATGAAACGCTGGAAACAAAATCAAGCAAAGAAGTAGTCGCGCTTGAGCAGGAGGACCAAAATAATGATGCTACAGAAGTTATTCACCCCGAGTTTACAAAACTCCAAGGATCAACAACAGCTTATGAGGGTGTAGTGAGGCGTGCACAGGAGAACCATTTCCTATCATTAAGAGTCCTAGAATGGCATAATAAGGAAAAAAATAATGTGAAAGAGTATGTTGAATTTGAGGGATTTAATGGAGAAGAAGGAACCGAAGGACATGAAGAAATACTTGTTGAAAGGATGACGAAACGAGAGGAGGTAAATAAACATTCCTCTTTAAGTGATGGGAATGCTTCTTCTGGAAAACAGCTGAAGAGGAAGAACTATGGGAAGCAGAAAATGGTAGCAGAGAAGCGGAAGAAGAGGAAGGGCAAAGCCACTTTTCCTGAGTCCAAAGCTGAATTTGTTCCAAAGGTAAACATCAAACTTTTTCATTAACTTCAATTATATTTGGTGTATATACGATTATCTTCCACTTGTATTTTGATTTCAAAGAAGAATTTTCAAACTAAAAATTTCAGCACTCTTCCTTGATATGATACTGCACTGCTAACACGATTTACATGTATATACAGTTTTAGTTCATCATATTTATGGCTTCCATTATCTACATTTTTTCCTTTATCAGGGTTTTAAAAAGCCAAGACAGAACAAAAAATATTGTGAAGAAATAATCGATTCAAGGGTACTGGTTTGGTGGCCAGAAGACCAACAGTAAGTACCGTTAAGTTGCAAGCGATGGTTGGCGGTGTATTATTATGCATGCTTCCTTTTGGAAACCTGATTGTTTTGTTGGTTTCATAAGAGTTTTCAGCCTTCGTTGAAACCATTTTCTCATTTTTTTTTCCCACGCGGCATGCTTATTAGTAGTAATTAAAATTAGGAAGCTTGGTATCATGTTTTTCGTCAAGAATCATAACATTTAGATATCTTTTAGTATGGTTGATCAAGTAACTACATTCACTATAGCTGGTCAAGTAAACTCACCATTAAAATGCATTTTCGCCATACCGTTTTCCTTAAAAAAAGGCAATGATAGGTTGATTTTTTTTTTCTGCAGGTTCTATGAGGGGGTAGTTAAGACATATGATCCAATAAAGAAAGAGCATAAGGTGATATTAAGAAACATAAAATTATACATTCCCGTATATATATATTCACTTGTGATCCATTTTATCTATCTCATACACATATCATATTTTCTCATTGGCCTTCATATTCGGTTCAGGTGGTATATCGTGATGGTGATATAGAGATTCTAAAATTAGAAACGGAGACATGGTTACTTAGCGAGTCACGACCCTTAACTTTCAAAGAAAGATCGGAGAAAATATTATGCTAGGGAATTTGCTAGGCTTTAGTGATTCAGCATCTCAATGGAATGGAAGAAAATATATTACATCTTTTATAGATGAGTGCTACATAATCTCTCAGAAGAGTAATAATTTCTTATTTAGCTAGAGAAAGAGTGGTACATGTCTTCTCTATACTGTAGTACATTTCTGGTTTTTTCTTTTTCGCCATGTTTTACTGTGTTTTTAGACTTCTCATGTTTTAATTCACTTTCCAACCTTGTTTGTCTTGAATGTATCTGGAGTGACACCCAAAAATCCACTCAATGCTATCTGACTTCAAATGATGATCATCGTGCTTTGAGAAAAAAGACCGAAAATCAATCTCAATCCTAGACGGATTTGAGAGCTGCATGATTGCTTTGAATTCTTAATTTACGTCGACATCAGTGATGCACATGAGTGTGGGTCTGAAGTATTTTGTATGATGAACCAACGTTTTGTCACTGGAGGCATGGAATATTTATTACCCGAAATGGAGAGTTTGGCAAAATGTAATGAGAATGCCAAAAGTTGTTTTCTATATATATATGCTAGGAGCTATGAGAATAAAATGGAATTTTATTTCAGTTAAGTATGCAAAATGGTCCTGGACCTTGAATATGTGTTTAATTCATTAATTTAAATGAATTAGAAATGTTGCAATTGTACTTTTCTAACAAATGAGGTTTCAACCTACATATAGTAGCTTATTTTGAGTATTTTGAGAACCATATTTGCATACCCTTCTTGACTTTATTGTACAAACACTCCTTCTTAAATATACAGTAAAATCTCTATAAATTAATACACTTGGGCCTCCAAAAATTTATTAATTTATAGAGTTATTAATTTATCGATAAATTAATATTTTCTTAATTCAAAGAGTTTTTTCAATCCTATAAATTAGAAAATACAAAAATTTAATATTTTCACCATCAAGAAAAGTCTATTGTAACCTAGCCATAACATTATATTTTTTTAATGGAACAAAAATACGAAAATTACAAACATAAATAAAATACTTAACTCAAAATATAAGTTAATCTTCAAATCTAATTTATTATTGTAGCTATTTATTAATTTATGAAATGGTGGAGACCCATATTTATATAGGAGATTCTTGAAAAATCATTATCTTTATATTGAGATTTTTCATTTTTTGTACTGGTCCCGATTTGCGACCGAAGAAAAATATCATTTAATAGAGGTTATTAATTAATAGAGAATTAATTTAGGAAGGTTTAACTGTAACTATAAATAATTGAAGCAATTGACCCCAACATGGACCAAATATTAATGACTCAAATTAAATAGTTGAGCAAGCTAATATAGTGTCAAAAGAATTTTAGAATAATTATTTTGACGCTAAAGCACCCAAAAAATGTGTGTAACCTAAATCTCCTGAAAAAAGTTAGATGGCGAAAAACTTAAAATATTAAACTCATGTCAAGAATAATTCAATAACATAGAACAAAATTTCTAAAAAAACAATGATATGAAGAAGGAATTGAATACAAGTTTCAGTGCTTAGTTTTGAACAAATTTAGCTTTTATGCTATTTATGTTTGTATTTTTGACTAAATGAAAACATATAGATTAAAGTTTAGAAAACAAAATGCAGAATAATTTGAAAACAATTGGCCACAAAAATGTAAATACACATTAAATTTCATTATATTTACTTCTAATTAATCAAATTTGTATTTTTGTTTGTTGGAACAATGTAGGATGTAATCACATTATTAGAACAATGTATGATGTAATCACATTATTAGGAACTATCTTATAATCACATAGTTAGGAACTACTTACATATTTAATGGAAATATATATAATCTATAAATGTAATTAAATGCCTCTAAGTCACAATCTTTGGTCCAGCAACAACGAATATGTCATCAACTCCACTTATTCGATTCTTTGATATGTCAAAATTTAAGTTTCTTTCATTTTAACTCCTATCATCAAAAAATAAGTGCAGAATTACTGTAACGTATCATTGAGATTTAGATACAAATCATCTAAATGATGAATCTAGTCACAAGTTAATAATGCTTAAAAAATTACTTTTCTCTTATTCTACGTCCAACAATTTAGTAACAATATAGTAGTAATAATTGTTTTCCCTTTTTTCTCAACTCCACAATACCCATGGTAATGAAGTTATTATGACAAAGTAAAATAATACGAAATCTACCTACACCATCTTTTCTTTCTTTAAAAACAAATATTAAGATATTGTTATATGACACATGAATCGAAATAGTGACACCGTTTCATTATGATCTTAGCCATATTTTGTAACGCCTCTTGTCATCACGTTCAAATCGAGTCAGCAATGTAACGTAGAGTGTTGAAGTACATGTGTTTTTCTTGTTTTAGTCGCATTGGTTCTTCCTTATTTGTTTGGAAAAAGATAAAGAAAAAAAAAGAGGTAAAATCGGTTGCATTGACTGACTTCAGTTGAGTTTCAGACCAATTAGCTCTTCCAACAGGCCAAGTTTTAGACATGCAGCTTTCTTTCTTGCCACTTGCCAACCGAAATAAAAATAACCTTAAAGAAATCTTTGTCTTAATCCACATACTAAATAACCAGAGAGCCAGATTTACTGAATTTCGTTGAAAAGATATTTTTTACTGCAAAAATGGAAAAAAAAAAAAAAAAAAGTAGGTGCCTTGAATAGTGCCTTGCATCATCGCCACCTATCAGTCCATCCCTTTTGTATGTTGTTTATGTTTTACCCTCAAAATCCATTTCAGTTCTCAAATGTAACTTTAAGGTTTTCAACCAGCAACTTGATTTCAGTCCTGGAAAAGAAGCCAGCCTGAATTGATCGATTTTGGAGAAGCAATTCTTTGATTTTTATTTTTGGGTTTTGGTAAATGGCGATATTGAAGACAAAGGATTTATCGAAGACCCAGGAATTATATCTTTGTCTACAGTTGCTAGATCTTGGAAAGAAGTTACATTCTTTACCCGCATCTGATGATGTAGTTTTAAAAATCCTTGAGGTATACAAAATTCTAAATTTAACTAAATCATTTGTATGCGTAAACATTATTTTTTTTCTTTTCATTTGGGTGGCTCGCAAATTAATTGATTCGATGGGTTTTTGTTGATTTGATTGTAGTGGACCGGTTAATTTTACTTGTGTGTGTTTCATTTGCTATCTTGATTGAAATGTAGCTGCTGTTAAATTTTGAAGTGATTTGTGTAATTCAAAAACACATATGAGATTGAATGTTAGTCTGTTGATCCTTTTTGGTGTTTATGCTTGTCTTTTGGATCATAAATTTTACTCTATAAATGGACCATTAACTTTTTTAATGCAATTTCTTGAGACTAGCAATTCTTGATTTCATGTTTTTGCCTGAATTCAGATTTTGAGAGTATAATGATGCTTCATTACAAGCCTTGAACTTATCAGATTACTTCTGACACTCTCATTCGTGGCGAGATTAACACTTGGTTTGGTTGTACTGTAGCTTATGTAATTCATTTTTCTTCTGTTTATTAGAGCGCTGAAGACCTTTTGAAAACCGTGGGACAAGAGCCTTCACAGGCAATATGTGATGCACTTCATCGTGCTAGGAATGGGCTAACAGGTGACTGGCTTTTGAAACACGAAAATATGGATATCAAAGTTTCGTTAATGTATTGCATTCACGAGATCATTAGAATCACAGCTCCTGATGCCGCTTACTGCAATAATCACATGAAGGTCAGCCCACATTATGATTCTCTCCATTCATATACTATATGTATTTGTGCTCCGTTTGTGGTAAATTTTGTATTGAAGCTTTTTGAATATTTTGGTGATTTGAATGCATTTTTACAGATAATATTTCGGCAAACCATAGAGAATGTATTTGGGAAACTCACATTGCTTTCTGATACCGCTTATGAGAAGGCGTTGCGAATTCTCAAGACAGTTGCTAAGGTGAAATGTAGTTTAGTTTTGTTGGATTTGGAGAGTAATGCATTGATCGTCCAGATGTTTCAGATCTTCCTTGACTCCATAGAGTAAGTCATCCATCTTTTCAAGTAATGCATTGTTTCCCTGTTTTGAAATCCTTAAATCATAAGTTTGTACTATGTTTATGGAATTATAGCTTTGGAAAATTTGATCCTATTTAGTAAAGTATGAATTTAAGGAAATTAGGGTTACACATACATACATTTTTTGTTCTTTTTTACATGAAAGTTCTTTGTTATATTTCACAGGCACAACTATACAGATGATGTCTTCTCAAACATGGAGGCAATCATGACTTGCTTGATTCAGGAAGGCGATGACTTCTCGCTGGATCTTGTGAAGCCTCTTTTTGATGCAGTGAATATTGAGAATCAGGTACTTCGTGATCTTGGTATCTTAACTTTTATTTTTCCCCATCTTGTATTTGGATGAACTTACACGTGTTATTTTTCTTAGGGCATTTCAGCACCATCACGGCGATTAGCATTACAAGTGTTGAAAAATTGCTCTGATAGGGTGAAACCTTACCTCATTGAACAAGTGGAACAGACAAGGAAAAACTTTGATGCTCTTTGCAATATACTTGCTTCCATTGAGCCTCAATCACCTACTGGAGAAAATGTAATGTGATTCTATTTCCTGTTTCAACCAAAGTCGACCCTTTTGTTGATTTTCTTGTTATTATTTTAGTTGTTCATTTTTTGTTGAATCATGATCAACTTTACCTAAATTGGTCTGAAATCAGGTTCTGATAGAGAGAGAAAATGATGATGCCTCTAGTCACAAGCCAATGCTGGAGGAGGTTGACACATCTTCGCCCAGAGACAGCTATAAAAGTTCATTAGTCAAGGCTTCAATGGCATTAATGCTAATGAATCATGCTTCATGGGATTCAATCAGCCATGAAAAGATTGAAACGCTGCAAACAAATGATGCATTACAAAGTGAAGATGGATCAGGAGCAGAAGCGTTTGGAGCAGTTGCTCCTGATGGAAATGTGAACAGTTCTAATGCACTCCAATATGATGATGTTCATTCCCTAGAAATCGTTGAAGGAGAACAAGTTCAGCCTGAAAAGTTTCAATCTAAAGAAACAATGGAAACAAAATCAAGCGGAGAAGTAGACGCGCTTGAGCAGGAGGACCAAACTAATGATGCTATAGATGTTGTTCATCCTGAGGTTTCAGAAATTCGAGGATCAGCAACAGCTTCAGAGGGCGTAGTTAAACGTGCACGGGGGAGCCATTTCCTGTCATTAAGAGTCCTGGAATGGATTGATAAGGAAAACAATATTGTGAAAGAATATGTTCAATATGACCCAGATAGTGGAGAAGAAGGAACGGAAGGATATGAAGAAATACTAGCTGAAAGGAGGGAAATACGAGAGGAGGTAAAGAAACATTACTCCTCAAGTGGTTGGAATACTTCTTCTGGAAAACAGCTGAAGAGGAAGAATCATGTGAAGCAGAAAACGGTACCAGAGAAGAGGAAGAAGAGGAAGGGCAAAACCACTGTACCTGAGTCCAAAGCAGAAGTTCTTCCAGAGGTAAACATTAAACTTTTGCAATTACTTCACTGATATTATTTGGAGATCATAGAAGAATTTTCAGACTACAAATTTTAGCAGTTTTCCTTGATATGATATTGCATTGTTAACACCATTTCTTTGTATTTTTAGTTTTAGTTCATATTTATGGTTTTTGTTAACTACATTTTTTCCCCTTTATTAGGGTTTTAAAAAGCCAAGATATAACAAAAAATATCGTGAAGAAATAATCGATTCGAGGGTAATGGTTTGGTGGCCAGAAGACCAACAGTAAGTACGCTTAAGTTGCTGATAATAGTTGGTGGTCTATTTCTATTATTATTATTACGCATGCTTACTTGCAAAAACCAGTTTGTTTTGTTGGTTTCATAATAGTTTTCAGCCTTTGTTGAAACCATTTTCTCTTTCTTTTCAGGTGTGCAACATGCTTATTAGTAGTAGTTTTATTGAAATTAGAAAGTTTTGTATTATGTTTCTCATCGACAAAATCATAACAATCGGATCTCTTTCTGTATTTGTTTGATCAAAGTAACTGCATTCACCATAGATGGAAAGATGAACACCCCACTAAAATGCATTTTAGCCGTACTTTTTTCCTAAGAAATTTTACATGTAATTAATAATATGTTGATTGTTTTCTGCAGGTTCTATGAGGGTGTAGTTAAAACATATGATCCAATAAAGAAAGAGCATAAGGTGATAAATAAGAAACAAAAAATTATATGTTCACGTATATATTGATTCACTTGTGTTCCATTTTATCTATCTAGGATACATGTCACATTTTCTCATTGGCGTTCATCTTTTATTCAGGTGGTATATCTGGATGGTGATGTAGAGATTCTGAATCTAGGAACAGAGATATGGTTACTTGGCGAGTCACGACCTTTAACAGAAAAAGAAAGATGGGAGAAAATACTATGCTAGGAACGGAAGGAAATGTGTCGTGATTCAGTAATTCGACATCCCGATGGGGTTGAAGAAGAAATATGACATCTCTTATCAATGAATGCTAGACAATCTCTTAGCGGACTAATGAACTTTTATTTAGCTAGAGAAAGAGTGGTACATGTCTTTTCTATACTGTAGTACATTTTGGGTTTTTTCTTTTTGCCATCTACTGGAAGCTTAGACTTCTCATGTTTTAAATCACTTTCCAACTTTGTGCATCATGAATGTATCTTGAGTCAGACCAAAAAATTCACTCATGGATATCTGAATTTGAATGAAGATCATCATGCCTTGAAGAAAAAGGCCGAAAATTAACCTCCATCCCTGTGCGATTTGAGATCTATAATTTTGTTTTTGGATGCTGATAGAAAAAAATGAGAAAACCAAACAAAATGGTCGACATGGGTGCATAAAAGGGTTAATAAGGTTTGTCAGTTCATGCATCAGTCTCGCATTTCTCACTTTCAGACTCTCAAACGGGTTTTTCGCTATCTTCGTGTTATCGTTGGAGCTAAATTTATTTGAATGCTGCCCTGTCAATTCATTAATGCTCTATGTTTACAGATTTTTTTCTCTTAACATAGCAGTATACGTTGTTTAATAAGAATAAAAGTTCAATCAAGAATGGTATAAAGGTACATTAATTCCATTTATATGCTTGGATTTTTCATACATTTTTGTTATAGAAGTTTACCTTTTATTTTGCTGTCACTTCGAATTTTCAGAACATTAATGACATTTTTTATAAATCCAAAATGGAATTCTCTACACGTTAATAACAAAAAAACTTAAAGAATCTTTTCTTATTTTTTTTATTTGCATATTAGTTATCATATACTGAATGTATGGCATATTAGTTATCATATACTGAATGTATGCATCACTTATGTAGGTAAATTCTTTTTAATAAGTTTGGCACGTTGAGAGGTGGAATAAAAAGAGGTACGAAAATCTAGTTGATCATTTCCCAAAAAGATTATTAATTACAAATCTTGTTGATAGAGTTTAACTCTATTTAATGATAAAACACGGATGACACTTAGTTCCTAAGAGCATTATGAAATTAAATCAATAGAAAGAAACAAAATAAAGTAATTCAATTTATAAAATCATAATCTATTTCGAAATAAGTAATTTGCTTTGTGTGAAAAAGTAACACATATGAAGCAAAAACATTTTTTTCTTTTTATTAAAAACCAACACAAAGAAATTTAAAAATGCCCAATTGTGGTTGAGTTATGGGGATGTCTCCTTATTCTCCAAAGCGTTCTTTAGGTTAGTTTAGTGTTTTTCCAATTGCCCCGAGAAATTAGCCAACCATAAGTGAAGATAATGCTGCTCTTTTCCCCCCTTTTAACATTATATTCTTTTGCAAAATCTGCAAAGAATCCTAAGAAATTCCTGTGAAAATAAACCACCGAGGTTTGTAGTAAACAATATAAGGCCACTAAGCTTTCTTGGAAGATCATGAAATCCATAGAGATAAAATGTCACATGCATACCTGCCACATTTGCTATCTGCTAACAAATTAAAGGTAAATTGGCTTAATTACCTATGAATATGAATTATTGATAAATCGGTTTCATCAAATCATGTGGTTGTCATTATAAGCAATCGGAACTAAATCTTCTTCTATATATATTGTGTGTAGTTCTAATCAAATGATAATGAAATTACTTTTTTTTAATCATACCATGAACGAAATGTGTCGTTCGAAATTGAATGAATATCATTACCGAAGTTACATTAATAAACCTCTAGTGTCACCTGCAATAACCAACAAAATGGTAAGACTTGAAAGAAACTAATTGATATTGTTGCATGAATTAATTTTCTGAGAATGGTATGAAGAGAAACCAGTAGTATGTACACTCGTTTGCGATGTGAAAAGTGATTTAAAATCTTCTGTATCAGCATGCATGATTTTTAGGGCAATCAATATTATTTTTGGAACTAGTATGGCAATGGGGAAACCTATTTGCATTTCAACTATTTCGAATTTTTTACACTTTTCAAATGAGTGATTCATAAAGACCATAAAGTGGTTGTCTCATTAAATTTAAGATCATCAAACCTTTTTGAATTATCTAAACTTTAAGGCAATTATTACTTTTGTCAATTTCAGCGCCAAATAGAAGAGGGTTATGTTAGATTGATCTCCATCGTGAAATAGTTTCCAATTTGATAAACATGTATACTTATTGCAATGTTAACGTGTGCAATAGAAAAAGTACACACACACACACACACAAAAACTAAGCCTCAGTGCCTAGAGTTGATGCTCCGAGTCAAAACATTCATTAACTTAACAAAGTTTTCTTTTTTTTGGTGCTGGTTCTGGATTATAAGAATGTCACTTGTATGATTCGTCATTTTGTTTTTGTGTGTCCTTGCTACGAATGATTTAAAGGTTGGCTCAAATAGAACTTAAAAGCACAGCTCGACTTGCATCATTCAGCAGTTGAAATACTTCATTGGATCACATTTGTAATTCTAACACTTCATTTTTATCTATGCCTATATATATACACTAGATGTTACACCCGGATGATGTGCGGGGTAAATTATTGCAATTTCAATAAGATGTTTATAAAATAAAAATAATATCACCTGTATATATATGATTCACAATTACAGATGAAATAATAATTGTTAAAAGTTTATGTAAACAAAATTTCACGACTTAATATATGGAAAATGAATGATCTACTGTTTACACCATGAGCGTACATAGTGCATTTTAGATATTTAGTAACTATAATTTGCTAAATGCGAAATCACTACAATAATACAATTACATACAAAAATTTCATAATTATGTGCTTCTCTTCACCATTTTCATTGACCTAAACATTTTAGGATTGAGAAAAACAACTAAATCAAATCCTCTGGCATGATCTGGATACTTCATGATTAGTTAATTACCTCTTCCAGTATCACCAAAAGTTTTTGAATAAATCTTTTGGCAATTATTTTCTATGTATTCCAAAAATCCACCTTTGACATATGGAAACTCATCTCCATGTACCCTACAATCAAATTCAATGTAATTTCACAAAAATCCATTGCAATAAACTTAAGAAAATAGTAAGAATTCGATAGGATCAAAAGCATGCATTATATATATATATATATATATATATATATATATATATATATATAGTTCTCAAACATAAATCTAACTTCATGGATGTAACCCGTTCGCACCTGGGTTCGCAACTATTACCACATAATCGGAACATATTTTGTTTTTGGCACTTTTTCTTACAAATTAAAAACCTGTTATAAAATCATAAGAAATCTTCGCATGAATTAAAAAAAATGATCGTGTTAGAATAACAATGAGGCAACAATTGGATCAACACGAATCTTTATGTGCTTTCCTGCATAATTTTAACATTGAGGCAAGAGTCTAATGCTAATATGTATGGGAAAAAAACAGTAAAAAGAAAGCATTAAAACAATTCCTCACCACATCAAATAGTTTTGATCATAATCCTCACCTTCTAATAGTAACACGGGTTGGGCTACTATTGGATGAGTGGTGCGTGACCATTGTACGGTGTTGATTTGACTTTATAATGAATAATATTAGATAATTGTACTAATAATACAATGTTTTGGGGTTTGCTCCAAAACTTACAGCTATCTTTGGCGAGCAAAATGTTTAGCAGCAGTCGATAGTTAGGTAGTCATGAAAATGGTGCTTGGCCCTAAAGCGATTTTGAGTATGAACAATATAGTTTTGTACAACAGAAAGGTAAAGAGCAGTGGCTAATGGAAGGAGATGAAAATACATATTTCCACTCGTTATTAAAAGCCAGAACCATGCGAAACCGTAGCATAACAGAGGAATTTGGGGAAGTAGTGCATGATTGGCAGGGTATTGAAAACCACTTTGTGCAATATTACAAGCAATTGTTGGGGAGAAATTCTGACAGGACACCTGCAAAAAGGGAGATCTTTACTCTGGCACCAGTCTTAAATGTTGAACAATAGCTCAGGCTAATTCAACAGGTGAAAAAGGAGCAAGTTAAAGCTACAATCTGGGACATGAATGTCAACAAAAGTCCCCGGTCCTAATGGATTTAGACACAGGCCATGTATTAAAATAGCTTAACAGCACTCTCTTAACTTTAATACCTAAAGTTGATGTTTCTTTAAATGCAACGCATTTACGCCCTATAGCATGCTGCAATGTCTTATATAAATGTATTTCTAAAATCCTCTATAGTATACTGAATTTAGTTCTGCCTATGTTAGTTGATGAAAATCAAAATGCTGGAAACGATAGGCTCATTTTATACAATGTATTAATCACTCAGGAGCTTATTAGATTGTATCAGAGAAAAGGAATAAGTTGCAGCTTATTGATGAAAATATATTTAAAAAAGGCTATGATACAGTCGAAGAGGGATTTGTAGAAGGCACTATTAGGTTATGGTTTCTCGGAGCAGATTTGTTGTTGGATTATGACCTGTGTGAGTTCACCAACCTTTTCTTTGCTGTTGAATGGTATTATTGCTTGTTTTTTCCATGGTAGGAGAGGTTTAAGGCAGGGGGATATGTTTCACCACTATTCTTTGTGCTAGTAATGGAGTATTTGACTAGAAGTTTGAAAGGAATAGCCGATTCAAAGTTTAAGTTTCACCCAATGTATAGAGAGATAAAACTCACTAATATCTGCTTTGCAGATGATCATCTTATGATCTTCTGCAAAGCAAATGGGACCACTGTTAAGAGAATCATGAAGACCTTTACTGAATTTACCAACACTACTGGTCTTGCTGCCAAGACACAAAAGTCCTCTATTTATTTTGTGGGTTGGGCAGAAAATGCAAGAGGAAACTTTTGAGATTACACAGTTTAGTATTGGATCCTTTCCTATGAAATAATTACGAGTCTCTCTTTCTCCAAAAAAATGGTCACAACTAGAGTGTCAAGAAATTATCATGTGTATTGTGGCTAGGGTAAAATGTTGGAGTACTTGGCATATGTCGTATGATGGGAGGTTGCTGCTGGTATACTCTATGTTGATGTCCATGCAATCTTATTGGGGATCTGTCTTCATTTTGCCACAATCTGTTATAGATACGGTGAATTGAATTTGTCAGGACTTTCTCTATGGTATTAAAAGCTCGGGTGGTGGGTGCTTGACTTTAGGGTGTCTCAAACTCAAAGTTGTAGGAGAAAATGATTCTAGGGTTTTAAAACTAGACATTTATATACTTTTTGTACTTTGAAAACGCGAAAACAAAAAATTAAATTAAAAATTCGCGTTTGTGAAACGCGAAATCTGGTAATGGAATTAAAAAAATTAAATTATTATTTGCACAAATTGATCCGGGAAAAAAGAAAGAAAAAAAAAGGAATTAAAAAAGGGAAACAAAAAATAGCGTTTTGAAAACGCGAATATTTTTTTTCGTGTTTCAAAAACGCGAAAAAGCTTTAGCGTTTTAAAAACACGAAAAGCTATATATTTAAAATTAATTTTTAAATTAATTTTATACAATTTAGCATTTTGAAAATAAACCGAATATTGTGCTATTTTAGCATTTTGAAAACGCGAAAAAAATGGTTTTAGCGTTTTGAAAACGCGAAAATTGCTTTTAGCGTTTTGAAAACGCGAAAATATCCAGAAAATCTCCTCAACCACTCATTTGGCTCCACGTATATTTTGCTGATAAGATTTGAATGAATTCGCGTTTTGTACGCGCGAAATTTAAAATACACATACCAAATTAACAACATTTCTTCCCAAACCCACCTTATTTCGTTATGTTGAGCTCCGAATTTGAGTTTCACTCCAGAGGACTTCGCTGAATCCGGGAAAGCTCTCATTTCCTTCAAATTAAGAAGTTGCTCCGAAGTTAAAGAAGATGATTTGAATCCTGAAGTCTATTTAAAACCCAAAGTTTCAACATTCAGGTTTGTACTTTTCGTTACAGAAAACATGTAATTTTTTATGCTTTATTGTGAGCATAGAATGATTTACGCATTATTATTAGTTCATAAATAATTGTGATTTACTCAATTAACATTGGATTCTTAATTAGGTTGATAAAGTGAATTGAAAGAAATATTAGTTAATAGAATGTTAAATTAGATGAGTTTTGTAAATTATTGTACATCAATTTCTGTAAAATAAAATAAAATTATAAACATGATATTGAATTTTTTAATATTTTAGCATAAGAATAAATTATGTAATTCGGGCACAAGGTTTAGATTTAATATTAATTTAAATTCTTTGATTGTAAAATTTCTGTTGCTATTGTTAAATTAGATGATTCTTAAAATTTATTGTATATTGGTTTATGAAAAAATTTATAATACCCAGATTGAGTTTTTAAAATATTTTTAGCGTAGAAATGAATTTTTAAATTCAGGCGTATAGTTGTTCTTTTGAAATTATTAAATCTTTAAACGGGATAAATACTACTGTTTCGGCAAAACTAAAATTCAAAATGTATTCTAGTGTTCTGATTTCGTAGGAATTGATTTTGCAGGCCGTAAATATCTTTCACGGAGACAGTTCATCTGAAAGTATACTGGAATACTACTTAAACAACTAAACCTGATGGGACTCACGGTACACCGGGATGCGCCGAACAGTTATCTTATCATTGATCGTATGTTAGATTTCTCGGAACTTGTTGATAAGGTATGTGGTGTGATGGAAGTTGATAGAGAAGGGCTGTATATTAATTTTTCTTTGGTATGGACGGAGAGATCAAGGAAAAGGTCTCGTGTGCACATTAATGATGATAATACTGTACGGTTCCTTTATCTTTGTGCTGATAAATGGTCGGAATTGTACCCTGAAAATGTTGAGAGAATAGACCATGTTTATGCAAGTACATCTGGCCAGGATATTGGTGCCAGCATATATCTCCAGGTTTGGAATGATCGCCACAACAGACTTGTCGGGACTGATGATGATTATGTTGGCGAGCTTACAGCAGATCCGGAGTATCTCTTGTGGTATCATCAGGTTACTGTAAAGTATGTTATGGATCCGACTGACTCTGAAAACACGAGGGGTTTTCATGGCTTTGTAGAGACCTTGCGCCTCATGGTGAGTCTTTCCTACAATTTCTTTCGCCTACAGTCCATTATGTAATTTATTTTCATTGTTATCGATTTACGATTCTTTCTAACAAAAATTTCAGGCCACTTTGATGGAGGACGTTCGTAGTCTTAGTATTATAGGCCAGCGTACATTCGACAAGGATTCCTTTGGTTATGATAGCTTAGGCGAGATTGCCCAGGTTGCTGAGCGGGCGTTGTCCGTCAATGCAACAAATGTTGTACGTCACGATGTCGAGAGGCAGGTTGAGGTTAATGACATTTTGAGTCAAGAAATTGGTCATGTAGACCCGACCCAACAATATCCACCTCCCAGACCTCCGAGGCGTTCGCGCAGGTCTCAGCGTGGGCGTGGGGGGCAAGAGACAATCACGCCCACTCAGCCACATCAGTCCTATAGGCATCAACAGTCTCATATCCCCTTCACTGAGGGTTCATCCCATCAGTCTCCACTTATGTCTCCACACCATTCTTCTCAGCATTCATCCCATCAGTCTCCACATCATTCTCCACATCATTCATCCCATCAGTCACCCCATCTTTCTTCGCCGACCCAACAGGTGTTTTACCGTCCCATTATGTCTCCCCAACACCAGCAGTCTCATTTTGCCTTCACTCAGTTTTCCTCCCCTCAGACTTCTCAGCCTCAGTTTGGAGATTCTTTTATTGACTTTTCTGGTTTCCAGCAAAGTCCTCTAGATGGGCAGTCGATACATTACACGAGTAACTTTCTTTCGAGTATGTTCGAGGGTGTTGTGGGTCAGCATCAGGCTGATGACCCAGCTGGAGGTAAGCGTGAGAGTAAGGGTGAAGATGAGGATGAGGATGAGGCTGAGGATGCAGACTAGCAGGATAAGTTTGAGGGTCAGGGTTATCAGCGCCATGAGGAGCAGGGATCGAGTCAGACTCTAGGGACTCCATCGTTGGCTGTGAGTAAAGGCCAGAGAGTGACAAAGGAGCCTGATATATTGACTTATAGCTATTTTCGTGCTAAAAAGTCCAAGAAGAAGTAGGGTACTAGACTTTTTATGTAGTATTATTAGACTTGTATTTTTTTTTCCCTTTTGCTATGACTTTTTTTTTCCTTTTGTTATGACTTGTATTAATATTCTTAGACAATGATTTCACCTGCATCGTTGTTACTTTATTAATATTTATCAAACACACCTTCGCCGATCAAATCTAAAAACAAATATTTTATTTTATTTCAAACTATATTTTATTTTTTTAATAATTAATAGTTGCTTCATCTTTTTTTTTAAAACAAATAGCAAAGTATTTAGTTTATCCAAACAAAAGATGTAATTCTTAGCTCTTACATACCAACCGTCTATTAAAATTACCACATCCACAAAAGGATAGTACCAGATACCTAAAACAAACATTCAGTAAACTAAAGTTCTCTTCAAAATTAAGATGCGGTGCATTAAATAATCGCATTGGCAGCACTTGCAATCCTAGGCCAAAGATCATCACACTCCTTTCCAATGGGACCACTGATTGCAGAACCTTTTATTTTTCCCTTGGGATTAACAATCACTCCTGCATTATCTTCAAAGTACATGTAGACACCGTCCTTTCGGCGCCATGACTTGCGCTGGCAGACAATGACTGCGGGCATGACCTTCTTCCTGAGATCGGGCTTACCCTTCTTGACGGTGGCCATAACTATGTCACCGATGCAAGCAGAAGGGAGACGGTTGAGCCTACCCTTCATTCCCTTCACTGAAATGATGTAGAGGTTCTTTACCCCGGTGTTGTCGGTGCAATTCACCGTCGCAGCCACTGTAAGACCCAGAGACATCCTGAACTTGTTACCCGCCGATCCTCCGCGTCCTCGCTTCGACATTTTTACTGTCTCCCCTGTGAAGTTTCCAAAGAAGAGAAAATAGTTGCTTCATCTTAACCGTTGGTAAATTATAATAATATTTCTTAAAATTTATTCATATTTTAAGCTTTTTTCTTATAATAAAACCGTTATAATTAATATAAACAATTTGTAAATTAAATTATATCTAATTAATATAAATCCATAAAATTACGTCATTTATCATTATTAAAAAATTTTCATATAAAATTATTTTATAAAATAATGATTAATTTTTTAATATAATTTTTTAAAAATTTAATATAATTTTTTAATATAATCATTATTAAATTTTTAATATAATTTTTTAAAAATTTAATAAATTATAATAATTATTTCATAATTTTAATAATTTATATTTAGTATAGCTCTATTTAATTTAATGAGTATCAATTATAATATTGTATTCTTATTCAAAATTTAATTTTCCTATTATTAAAATTATCAATATAATTTTTCTCTTTATAGCTCTATTCAAAATTTAATGATTATCAATTATAACTTTAAAATTTTCCTTTAATTTCATTATTAAAATTTAATAATTTTTTGAAGTAAATTTCCCTACAAATTTTTTAACTAGGCAAATTAATCAAATTTTTATGACTATTTCCTTTTTCATTTAAATAAAATATTCATTTTTATTTTTTTCGCGCTTTAAAAACGCGAATCTTTATTGAATTAATTTTTTACCATTAATTAGTTACGATTAAATTAAATTAATTACGATATCTTATTTTTAGCGTTTCTGAAACGCGAAAATAGTTTTTTAGCATTTTCACAACGCGAAAATCTTTTTTTAGCGTTTTTAAAATGCGATTTTGCTTATTTTCGCGTGTTTAAAGCGCGAAAAAATTAGTTTTGGCCACAATTAAAACTCTAGATCTATTTTGTTCTTCAAAATTTTTTTAGGTTATATATAAGTAAATTTTCCTTAAAAGCTCTGGGATGTCGGTTCTGTTGGTTAGTTAGGATGAAGTTTTTAAAAAGAAGGTTGAAGGTGGCTTAGACATCAGAGATGCCAAACTGTGAAATAAGGCAGCAATCATTAAGCAAATTTGGCACCTTGCTCAGAGAAAGGAATCCTTGCAGGTCAGGTGGATCCACGACATATATATGAAACACACCACCTTCTGGGATGTTCAACTCAAGCCAGGCTCTAGCTGACAAAGATATGACACCAGGTAAGGGATGGTTTTGAGGGTTCTAAATGGAAGGCTGGTAAAAAGGGACAATATACTATAAATTCTGGTTATAGATGGCTGGCTGGAGGAGGAGGGATGCGACCGGAGTTTAAGTGTATTTGGGATAGAATGACAATTCTCAAGCACAGTTTTATTTCGTGGTTGATCTGGAAAAGGAGGATTCTTACAAAAGACAGGCTAGCTATGATGCATCTTGACATTCAGGATCCTTTTTGTTTGCTGTATAAGCAGGAAGTGGAGTCCATTGATCACTTGTTTAATAGTGTCAGGCATGGAAAATTTACTTATTAGTAACTGAAAAAAAAAAAATGAAGAACAAAATATGCTTGGGGTTTAAATTGTGGCCAAAAATAGCTTTCTCGCGCTTCAGAAACGCGAAAAAATCAAAATCCGCGTTTTGAAAACGCTAAAAACACAAATTCGCGTTTTGAAAATGCAAATATATGTTTTTCGCGTTTCAGAAACGCGAAAAAGAAGGAGACATAATTAATTTAACATAATCCTAATTAATTAACTTGAATCAATAAGATTTCGCGTTTTGAAAACGCGAAATCAATTAAAAAAATATTTTATATAATAATAAAGAAAATAGGCATAAAAATATGATTAATTTGACTAGTTTAAAACGTTATAGGGAAATTGACTTTAAAAAATTATTAAATTTGAATAATGGTAACAGAAAATTTTAAAATTTTAACTGTTAATCATTAAATTTTGAATAGAGCTATAAAGAGGAAAATTATATTGATAATTTTAATAATACGAAAATTAAATTTTGAATAAGAATATAATATTATAATTGATACTCATTAAATTAAATAGAGCTATACTAAATATAAATCATTAAAAGTATGATATAGTTATTATAATGTATTAATTTTTTAGAACATTATATAAAAAAAAATTTAATAATGATTATATTAAAAAATTTTATTAAAAATGTAATCATTATTTTAAAAAATAATTTTATATGAAAAATTTTCAATAATGATAATGACGTAATTTTATGGATTTAATGAGATGTAATTTAATTTACAAATTATTTTTATTAATTATGATGGTTTTAATATAAGAAAAAAGCTTAAAATAGGAATAAATTTTATTAAATATTTATTATAATTTACCAACACTTAAGATGAAGCAACTATTAATTATGAAAAAAATATAAGAAAGTTTAAATATGTGTTTCGATTTGATCGGCGAAGATGTGTTTTATAAATATTAATTATTGTATTTACGATGCAGTGAAATAAAACTATTAAGAATATTAATACAAGTCATAACAAAATACTACAAGTCATAACAAAAGGTAAAAAAAAATAAAACAAGTCATAACAAAAGGAAAAAAAACAGAAATGAACAAAAGGGAAAAAAAAATACAAGTCTAATAATACTACATAAGAAGTCTAGTACCCTACTTCTTCTTGGGCTTTTTAGCCCGAAAAAGGCTATAAGTCAATCTATCGGGCTCCTTCGTCACTCTCTGGCCTTTACTCACAGCCAACAGTGGAGTCCCTAGAGTCTGACTCGATCCCTGCTCCTCACGCTGATAACCCTGACCCTCAAACTGATCATCCTGGTCTGCATCCTCAGCCTCATCCTCATCCTCAGCCTCATCCTCAGCCTCATCCTCACCCTGACTCTCACGCTCACCTCACCGGGTTATCACCGATGTCGACCCGCAACACCTCGAACATACTCGAAAGAAAGTTACTCGTGTAATGTATCGACCGCCATCTAGCGAACTCTCTGAAACCCGAAAAGTCAATAAAAGAATCTCCAAACTGACGCTGAGAAGTCTGAGGGGAGGAAAACTGAGTGAAGGAAAAATTGGACTGCTGGTGCTGGGGAGACATAATCGGACGGTAAAACGCCTGTTGGGTCGGCGAAGAATGATGTGGAGACTGATGGGATGAATGATGTGGAGACTGATGGGCTGAATGCTGTCGAGAATGGAGTGGAGACTGATGTGGAGACTGATGGGATGAACCGCCAGTGAAGGGAATATGAGACTGCTCATGCTGGGAGGACTGATGTGGCTGAGATGATGTGATTGTCTCTTGCCCCCCACGCCCACGCTGAGACCTGCGCGAACGCCTCGGAGGTCTGGGTGGTGGATGTTGCTGGGTCGGGTCTACAGGTGCAAGTTCTTGACTCAAAATGTCATGAACCTCAACATGCCTATCGAGATCGTGACGTACAACATTTGTTGCATTGACGGACAACGCCCGCTCAAACAACTCCGGGCAATCTCGCCTAAGCGATCATAACCAAAGGAGTCCGCGTCGAAAGTACGCTGGCCTATAATACTCAGACTACGAACGTCCTCCATCAATGTGGCCTGAAATTTTTATTAGAAAGAATCATAAATCGACAACAGTGTTAATAAAAAGAACCAAATGGACTGTAGGCGAAATACTCACCATGAGGCGCAAGGTCTCTGCAGAACCGTGAAAACCCCTCGCATTTTCAGAATCCGTCGGATCCGTAACATACTTCACAGTAACCTGATGGTACCACAAGAGATACTCCGGATCTGCGGAAGGCTCGCCAACATAATCATCATCAGTCTCCACAACTTGGTCGTGGCGATCATTCCAAACCTGGAGATATATCCCTAGTTGTTGTAACCATCTCCTATCGGATCCTCCAAACGGCTTCCTCTTGAGCAGGCTAGTAATTTCCGCCACAGTGAGAAGTAATGCGTCGCCGGTATCCGCTGGTGATAACCAAATTGGCGAAATACCCTACTGGGGTTGTGTGGCGCAACGACATCACC